TTGATCCAAGTGATCACCCACCCGCACACTGACTGCAGCCAGTGATGCGTGACTTCGGTGATGTGCTGGGAACCATGTCCTAACGATCAGTCCACTGCGGGACTACTGTTGTTGTTTTTCTTCGGTTGACCTTTTACTAAATGATTATGGTGCGAGGAAGATGGTGATTTCGACTTCAAGTAAGTATTACATTCATGCAGTAAGTGTTGTTTCTACTCCGTTGAAACACTGAGGTCCTACACTGATTCCAGACATGAACTTGAAACCTTCTTTTTAGCTGTCCGAGAGATTAGACACCCAGCTTACCAGTAGACATCAGTTTCACGTTACCTTCGCATTAAGTCCGTCTATGTCTTTCCTCTAATCGTTTTAGTCAGGCCGGGATTGCCTGGTTGGTAAGGAACTGGGCCCATGTCCAAGAGGTCGTGGGTTTGATCCCCACCGGCCGAACACTCCCAGTGTCATAAATTGAGACTGGTGCACGTCAAATCTGTCGAGTCACAAAGCCCTCCATGTTCCAATAACAAATCATACCTCTAGGGGCAATGATCCAGGAGTTTCCTTGCCTTCTGGATGGGCTCAAAATCACAAGGCTACGGAGTTGTACATTAGTAGTCATAAGCCTAAACAATTGGGTCGGCTGTTTATCGTCAGTTATAAAATAAAATAGTTTGGTTGACGCTGATTTTAAAGTTTAATTTTAATTAATGTCAATATAATTATTATATAAGAACTCATAATTCCAAAAAATCAGACCGGTTGTTCAACAACGGTTATAAAATCGTTTAAGTCAAATTGGATTGTCTTTCTGAGGAATGCTCTGAAACGTGGAGGTAGCGGGATTTGAATTCCGTTCTAACCATGATTCTACCTTTACCGAATTCGTGCAATTATATCTTCGATTTGACAAGGATTTATTACCCTTCATTTTATTGAGTATGCAAATCTACATGTGAATAAATTAATCAAATCAATTTTATATTGTAGTACCGTTCAGCTTGATGAAGTTTTGCAAGGGAATCAAGCAGAGTAGCAAAAAAACATAGAGCCAGCACAGTGATATAGACACAGATTCGTTCCCCGAAATCACTGAAACACTTCGACAACAAAGGGATCAACATTCAAAGTTTTTATATCAAACTAGGAAGCTTTTCCCCCTACTCGCTTGCGCTCGCCAACCCCCAGAACTGCTTTCGCAGTTCATTTCGGATTGCTTCGCAATCCAATGCTCGCTCATTGGATACGTTCTTAACGTCTAGCTTTTGTATACTTTTTGGAATACTGAAGTTCCGAAAACTTTTCACTGTAGAAAATTCTAAACCTGTACATTTCAATATTAATTTGAAATTGCAAACGTTAATTTGGGCATTTGGCGATACAACACTTATAGAATTGAAGGATTTGTTACGTCAAGCGCTCAGGTATCATAATTTTGATCTAGTTGCGCTTCTATGTCATTTTGATTTATGTTGCTAAGTTAACTTTCAAAAAATTCTATGGCTGGCAACAGCATTTTTATTTTTTAAGTTGTTTATTTTTATTTCTTTTAGAATTCGTTATTTTTTTAGCGAAATGTTTTTTAACCTAACAGAATTCTTTGCCGACTGTTTTCTCTATAAATGAAGAAAATAAAGTAAATATTTAAGTGTTGTGAAAAGAATCTTATTTAGTTGTACAAAGTACTTCAGAAAAGCGCTTTCGACAAAATACTAAAATAGAGATCTACTACTCACTTCTGCCTAGCTTAATAGTATGAGATTATCGCAGCTGAATTGAACAACCTGATAATGCTCACTCTGGTTATTGTTTCCGTTTTTAAAAGCGCTATATGTTGAGCCACCTCAACTAGATTTGGCATGTGACATTTTTAGCAGCAATCATTGGTCGATTTTCTAACGTTGCCATTCGGGGAGTTGTAATGAGGCTTTTTTTTTGGTGCCGTGTAAGAGAAATATATATATATATATATATAACCGTTCCTTCTAATGAACGTACAAGGCGGCTTATGTATGTGTGTAAGAATTTAAAAAAAGTATCAAATTTTTAATTATGATTTGTAAAGTTTATTTTTACCGTACGTTTATAAACGTGTGTGATTGATGCATAGAAGATTATACGGTTCTATTCTTCCGAAGAGCTGCAAAAACGAATAACATTCTACCACAAATTCTGCAAGACTTTCATATCAGAGACTAACTCTGAAATCGAGATCCGCTCTTCCCCGCAAATCCCGCAGAGGACTGATCGTATGGACGTGATTCTCAGTAGAACACCGAACTGGTTGCGGTCAATAAGTGGGTGGGTGACCACTTTGATCTGCCTGCGTAGGGATCGAGTGGGTTTGCATGGTGCCGCTTCTCGTTAAACTCTTCAACCGTAAAGTGTTCGACTTCGTGCGCAAGTCATCATGCTACCGAATCAGGGGAGCCATCCCCTCTGTTGAGAATCAAAGTTGCGATGGAAAAATGACAGTATGGCACAAATATGGTGGAGATGGAAATCGAACCCGGTACTTTTCGATGCGCTTGTTGAAAGGACAATAACCAATGAAGTCTCGCTAGTGATATTTTTTTTGGCATTTCAAACAAAATTACGACGTTTTTACCGAATGACTCTAGCAAAAAATATTATTAACACGTAACGCTAAGAAGATGTGAAAAATGTCTACCGCTTTGCAAAAAATTAGTCTAATTTTCACCCAAAACTTGATTTTTTTTGGCAAAATTAGAGCTCAATGACTAAGTGTTTACCAAGGGCCTGATTAAAATTACGATTGATTTTGATTATCGGCTTTTACCTATTCTCAACTACGTGTGTTTAATGTTTTTTCATCGTATCTTTTTTTTTTAATTATTCATCACGCTTTGATTAAATTATTCTTTTTCTTTGGTCGCTTTTGTGTTATTTTTGATTTTTTTTTTATTATTAAAATCAAAATTTTATCTGTCCATAATCTTTAATTTTTTAATTTCTATTTTGGAAAGGGTTCTAAACATGCGTATCAACGGTGGGGATTACGGGAGATTCAGTGCAAAAATGTGAGACATGTGAAATAATGCAAAATTTCTGTTATGGCCATCTTTAGAATGTATTTTTAGAGTCTTTGTAACAAAGGAAAGAAAACTGAATCCTCCAAAAAAGACCACTTTTGGGAGGCAGGGAATTTTTTTCCTTTGCGTTGAAGACTATTAAAACCACTCTCGGCGACCGGAGAAACATCTTCACCAAATAAATATCAAATAAGGAAGCACGAAAAAATATTTAACGTAATAAATAAGTCTATTACAATTTATTCAAAATATTTGTGTGAGGCTCTTATTTAGAGAGCTCTTTTTGACGATACAACCTCATGTTGCAGTCCACTAAAGACGATGCTATCAATGATTTACTTTTAGAGTTGCAAGTAAAATTAGAAATAAAAGTTCTTTTTAGAAAAAACAAGGATCTCAAACAAAAAAACCTCTTCTCATCTTTTAAAGCTAATTTTTATGATATAAAATTAAATGCAAATGAAACATAATTGTTTATTTATTTAAAAAAAGCTTGATCATTCATAGTTGATAAAATTTCTCTTACACATAACTATAACAGTTGGGATCATTTTTATAGAGGCTAAATTTTATTTGTAGATCCGTCTTTTCATGACGCCAACAAAACAGGCATTTCCGCACCAAGAAAATGACACTTGACTAAAACTACAATTGTTTGGGGGGAAAATCTTGTACCTTCGATAAAAATTTTGAAGTCAATGGAGGTAACTTCTAAGAACGATCAACGACCATTTATTTAACTGTGGAACGGAGAGTGGTCGCTCCCGAGAGGTTTTATTGTACACATTAGGGATTGATTAAAATTATTTAAGCAAGAAGGAAAATAAATGTTATTGATGCCCAACCTCTGATTATAGTAGGAAATAAAAAAGAAGTGACGATGATTATGAAAACTACTTCAGAACTACTTATGAAAACTAATTCGATAGCTTTTTTACTTCCTTTCTTACTTAAATACTAAATTGGAACCTCCTGATGTGAATACTATGGTGATTCTTATCAACATGGAAAAAATGTTTTGCTAATCTTTCAAGGTACCCCTTAAAAAGGAACCAGATGGTATAAAACTAACATTCGAAAAAATTAATATAATAATATTTAGACTCCTACTTTTCTCGATTAGTAATTAGTTGCTAATAATTCTCAATTAGTTGCTTCTGATTCTTTTTTTTTCTTCAGAATTTTTGAAAAATAAATTAAATTACCTACAATATATGACTACTGTTGTNAAAAGAAGTACAGCAGCATTCTTGCAACAAGGACAACCATATATATATATAAAACACAAAGGTTGGTAATCATAGAACACCTTATATTTGTTCAGAAAGAAGGTAAGGTACACTTTGGGCAGTGTATGAATAAAGCATAAACAACTTGAATAAAGCACTAATAAAGGTAGGTAGTTTTGGTTCTATAGACGTAGTCAATAACTTCCCTCAGTGTCCAAATACCAAATGACAGTCACTTTTCTACTCTCATTTGGTGTTTAGACATCGGGGAAAGTTCTTTTTCAAGTTACAAAACCTATAGTATGTCCATTTGTGTTTTATTCAAGTTGTTTTTCATTTAACCATTATTTAATCAAGCATCTTAAATTGAAAATTGCCTATTTTTATTAAACAATCATAGTGTCCCAGTTCAAGTGAAAAAACAATGTAAGTGCTCCGAGAGGAAAAGTCACTTGACTACCATTTTCTCTCCATTTCTAGCACTATAAAAGCCAAAATAGAACTTTCAGAGAATTCAAAATCATAAAAAAATTATTTTTGGAAAAAAAGATTTTTTCCCCCAATATGTAGCGTATCATACAAAAATGCTTATATTATAAAAATCTCAATTTCGAAATTTTTCTCACTTACAATTTTTTTTCTACATTACATGGCAGAATGTGAACTCGTAGAAAAAAATGCCCCCCCCCCCCATAAAAAAAAAGAAAAGAGAGAATATTCTCCTAAATAGGATTTTATTCAAGTTCCTTATTATTGTCATTTTTTTCAAATATTTAACAGCTGTATTCAAACATATTCAACGAGTTGAGAATCTGCGACTGTTAGGCAAAACAACATAATTTCTTACTACATCACTCGCCGCCACCATATATGCAACTTCATTATTCGAAACAGATGAACCGGGAGTCAGTGCAGATGGATCTGGTTCCGTTTCTTTTGTGATTGTCACATTAGAAGGTTGTTGGGTCCCTACTCCAGGTTCGTTGGTCAGGACTTCAGCTCTGTAACCATCCTTATCGGCAATGTATGTCACAATTCTTATGAGACCATTTCTGGTTGTGTACCCATAGGAACCGGTTCTGGTTCCGTTTGCGTAACCTTTTTCTCTGTAAAAAGAGGCACCTCCCGTTAGCTGATTTTCGTTATATCCTTCATCGTAATTGCCAAATGCCTGTAAAACATAAGTATAGTAATAGTAATTTTATTGGATAGTATTTGTATAGTGATAATGTACGTGCATAGTACTAATTTTAACATTTTGTGATTAAAAATATTAGTTCATGAGTAAATGTAATTGTTGTTCCCTTATGCCTAACTGGGATAATTTGGGTGAAGTTCGAATTATACGTAGGTAGGTGGTCCCAGAGCTGCACAATGGGCTATTGGCGACGGTCTGGGAAACATCCATGAGAATGATCTGAAGACATGCCATCGCAATTTTGATCCTCTGCAGAGAGAATGGCTCCCCTGCTTCGATAGCCTGATGACCTCTTGCGAAGTCTAGCTTTTAACGGTAGAACGGTTTAATGACGACCGATACCGTGCAACCTCGATCCCTACGCAGGCTGATCAAAGGGGTGACCCACCGCTTACTGACCACAGCCAGTGATGCTTGACTTCTTTATTTTACTGGGAACGGTCAGTCCACTGCGGGACCGAATCATACGTAAGAGCCTAAGGGAAGGAGGTGGGTTTGTGATTTGCTTATTTTTTTGGTAACAAGAGGGCAAAAGGGTTTAAGCAATCCTTACGTAAAACAGTAAAATTCGATAATTTTAAAAATTTTCTGAGAATGAAAAGATCGAATCTTCTTTTCAAAATTATAAGCACTGCTTTAAAAACGAAAGTTTTGTTTCATACTTAGTTATATCTTTTATTTTTACCTAACTCCAAAATTAGGTTACAATAGTAAAATTAAAAAGAAGTACAGCAGCATTCTTGCAACAAGGACAACCAATCACTATAACGACAATGCAGACAACATTTTGCATCGACCTCCCTTACTTCCCACACAAGCTAGCACCCATCGCTTTGTGGGCTTCAAGTCACCGCTTGGAGTCGAACCCCCGTGTTACACAGTGACAGTTCAGTGCCTCAATCACTGAGTCATCGCTGCTCTGTAAAATTTAAAATTAAAGCAAAATTCTGAATGGTTGAGAGTTTAAGCATTGGCGGGGCTTTGTGATTAGCTTATTTTTGCTGAAAATAGGGAAAAGGGTTCAAAATTGCCAAAAAATCAGTATATATTTGAATCAAAATATTTGAATGGCCCCTAATTACAAATTATGGCTTACAAAAGTATTCAATGGCAGAGATTTTATACGAATATCAATATTTAACTTAGTTGAAATAAAATAGTTTATGTTTATAGTTTATGTTTATGGAGATTGATTTTCAATGGTAAACGCAAAATAGAGTGTCAGTTTCGTTAAACAACTAAAGTAATTCTAAATCATGACCTTTTACATAATTTTTAGTTCCCTTGTGAAAAATACTTAATCAATAAGGAAATAAAAAAAACACTATCAAAATCTAACGAGTCTTTAACATGGAGGGCGAGACAAACTATCACCAAAAAAACTTGTTTGATAGCAGAAGGAAACGTAGAAGAAATGATATTTTATACTTTATTTTATATAACCGTTGTTGAACAGCCGACCCAATTTTTTGGGTTTGCAACTACTAATGTTCACCCCTGTATCCTTGTAGTTTTAAATGCAACCCAGAACACAAGGGAACTCCTGGATCAAGTATTGGGAGTATTTGCCTTCTTGGAGGACTTTTTAATGGAACTAACCCGCATATGCGTTACACGGAGAGGAAAACCTCCCACAGTTAGTCGGACGGCAAAAAGACTGTAACATATGATCCGTCAACCACTGAGGATATTTTAAGTCTGCACTGTGGTCAGTGTAAGCCGGATGCGGAATTCATATCGACCAGCCGTCGTTAGGATTCGAACTCGGTTCACTTCATTAGAAGCTCTATTCCCTGAGCCACCACGGCTCTAGAAGAGGTGATAGAAGTGTTACAAGCATCTTCCTCTATCAAACAGCAATTAAGCAGGTTTTGATGCCTCTAATCCTGTTTTACTTAAAAGTAATTCGCCAAAGTTAGATTGCGATTTTGTTAGTTCCTCGTGTTTGTATTTTGTTACCCCATTTTATCAAAGAATTTTATAAATGTGGCTACTAGGAAGGAATAGGTTCGTAAACATCCCGATCTGACAGTGGTTGATGTCATTCTGAAAAATCTCGTTTTATTTCATTACTAAACGAATAGCAAACAATTTTCCTTTTAAATCAACTAATTTACTCTCTTTTTATACTTTTACAAATGTTGAGAATAGTTATCAGAGAAACATAAATCTTTATTCCTTAATTTGATTACTTTATTTCGAATTGAACAGCTAAATGATAAATATTCATTAAATGTTTTATAATTGCATATCTTTTTCATAATTTTATTGTCGTTTAAAAAGAATTAATTCAATTGTGCTAGTTTTTTGATTAACATTTGAAACTTTTCCATTTCAGTTTCGTTTTTAGATGTCAATACGATAAGGATATATAACAGAATTTTATTGTGACCGGATCAGTAAAATATCAGTAAATTCTAGAAAAAAATAGTAATTATTATTATTAAGAAATTGATAACAAAATGATTACCTACATCTCTGTTTCTAATAAATGTGACAGTGTCGTTGCCATTAATCCCAACAGGTATGACAATTTCTTGAGCCACAGCAAACACAACACACATTGAAACCAGTAATAAAACCTAGAAAAAAGTTAAAAGTCTTTAAATGCCGTGCAGGATAAACCTTGTAATACGTGTTATTAGCTGTGGTCGGTAATAACGTACTACAACTGGTGAAACTACTGTAATCGCCACTTTTTTTCACAGTTTGTAAGGTAGTGTGTATTTTTTTTAAAAAAAAGTAGTGCAGTGAGTAGTACGATACCAAGAAAAAGACAGTAGTTTATAGCATTCCTGCCAACTACTTTTAACATTAAAAAAGGAAACACTGTTCTAACCGCAACTAATATTACGGGTACAAATGTTCGCGGGTTCGTCAATGGATGCAATAAAACTGTGACTGCAGTTGAACTCTAACAAGAATTACGTGTTTAGAATCATGTATAACTAAAACTAACCATTTCGAAAAATTAGGGATCGGAAAAACTTCATTCTTTTTGTAATTTACTACGACTACAACTTTGTTACAAATGTAGTTAACTACTGCTACTTATTTTTAATGTCGTGACTACAGTAACTACTTCTCTAATTTAAGTAGACGAACTTACATTAAATGCAACAAAAAAAATTAAGTTACTTTATTCATGTTTACACGAGCCAGTTTGTTACTCCAAAACATTTTTTCTTTTTCGAATTTATTCACTTAATCTTCAAATTTTTATGCCTTTCTCGACAGCGAATATTTAATTTCTTTTCTTCTTTATTTATGAAAAATTGGGCACCAGGGCCGCGCAGAAGGCCCCTAACCCATACATCATGAAATAGTATAAAAAGTTAAAATAAAAGACAGTTTGAGTTCAGCAGTCTATGGGGTGGCTGTTGCAGGTAGACAAGCACCTTGCTTGCATAACTGAAAGAAAATGAAAATAATAAGAGCTGTAATGTGTGGATGGCTGTAGTTTGATTGTCAACGTGAAGTAACATAGGTCAGGATTTCAGTATTGGTAAAGTGTTTGATGCTGTGGACTATTGGTACTTTGGATTATTGATGTACAGACTATAGATGCTGGAATTGAAGACTATTATTTGTGCTGATAGTTGTGGTATGACGAATATTTAATTTAAGAAAAACGAAATTATCAAATGCTTGAAATTTTTGTATTGTTTAATGTTCTTTTTTTTTTCCTCTGGTAAATTAAGTACATCAGAAATATATTTCCTACCTTTGAAATAACATCAATATTTCACGGGACAAATTATTAGACGCATAGCTTTATTGTTTTTACCCAACTGAAACCGGTTTGCACTGGATTACGTTAGTTTTGTCAATGGGTTGAATGAGGCGATATAAAATCGTCGATAGGATTTGAATGACACGATTTATTATATAAATACAGAATATTTATTACATCAGGTATTATATTAGTATCTAATAATAATTAGACGAAATAATTAGACGCACTGTAGTGTTTTAATAATTGCATGTTTTGCACAAGTTTATATGCCATACTGTTATAGTTAAGCACACATGTAATAGGTTTTTATTCGGGAGATTTTTTATATACTTCCTACTTGTATTTATTTTTAACGTACTGCAATACAATGTTTACCAATTGATACACTAACGTAAACAAGTGCAAACAGGTTTCAGTCTCGTAAAAACACTAAGGCTGTATAGTATCACCTGATAATTAAGAATTTACATAGAATCTTATTGTGCGTCTAATAGTTTGGCCAGGGACTGTAAATACGAGAAGGTATTTGAAAGTTTTACAGCGGCCTAGGCCAATAGGCCCATACGCCAAATACAATGGAATACATTAAAAAAAGGTCAACATACCCTTATATATAAAATGCAAAAAATATACCTAGAAGAATCGGGATGGCAACAGTCCATTTACATAAATTAACATAGTAATAAAATGTTTAAAAATATAAGGTCAACAGACCCTTATTTGGCAGGTCAACAGACCCTTATAGCCTTAAAAAATTGTCCTATTTTACATAGCATTTTGCCTTTGGCAAGGATAGTGACAGTTAGAGGAAAGTATAAAATAATACATACCCTGAGCACCAGTATAACTGGGGTAAAAGTAACAAAGAGACATTGCTCGACAGGGTTCTA